GGGACAAAGACCAAATACATATTTCACAGTATCACAGAACAATTTTAAATTCCTCTGCCAAAGGCTCGGAATAGTTAACATCTACTTAGTCTCAGAAATTCTTTCATCTGATTGCTCAAAAAGATGATTTCTACAACTGACTTATGAAAAAATTTCCCATCCAGCTCTTTCTGGAATACTTTGCACCCACTAGCAATGCCTTTTAAGGTGTTCCCCAAAGGCAAGAAAATCCTATATCTCAATAATTGAGTGTGTTGTGTAATCATATATGACATTTGAGGAATTTTTCAAGAAATGTTGCACTGAGAAATTCAAATTAAATCACAAAAATTGGCTTCTTGGTGATAAAACATTCATTGTGGGTTTACAGTGCGTGTTGCACTCTAATCTTTCAGCTAAAAATTGCTTATTTTCCTCTTTGAGCTATTTAGTTGATGATTTGTGCAATTTGGAACAATCAGAGGCTGATGGTTGCTTCCCGTCTTTAGCACATTGTGTTGAAGCAGCTAAACTCTTCCCATACTCAGTTCTTTTTTGTACATCTTGCTTTTCAAACTAAAAACATTTTTGGAGAAAACATCATCTCAGAAAAATATTATAGAGGGAAAAATCTTCTCCGTTATTTGAGTAACTTATAGAGACAAGCTGAGGATACTTCTTTCCTCTGAAGAAGTAATAGAAAATTCCACAGTATAGAAAACAGGAAGCAGATAAAGTCCAGTGATTACAAAATTAGTAAACCCAGCACAATTCTTTCAGGGATAAGTAAAAGAAGGTAACTCAGAGCTATCAAGCAACTTGGGCTAGTTACACTGCACTTTATCACACTGTTATGGTTGATACACTGTGTCAACTGGGGGAGTCTAGAGGTTTGGCTAAGTGACTCAGCAGGGAGCCAGGGTGCTTACTTTGTATACATCCTGAGCCTGTGGAAGAGGAGGGCATGGAGATTGTGTGAGAGCTACACTCCCCTGAGTGGGAGTAGCCTGCTTACAATGTAAGGGAGAGAAAGAGGCTTGCTCCTCCCTGCCACTCCTCCCTTCTGCTCTTGTTACTTTGCTGTTGTCTGCTGCCATGAACTGTTGCCCTCTGCCACTTGCCACTCTGCCTTGGAGCCAGCTGAGTATGGACTAAAACCTCTACAAACTGTGAGCTAAATAAATCTTTCCTTCCTTCATTTTGGGCATTGGGTATTTTGTCTCAGCAATGACAGAAAAGTAACCAAGAAACACACTATATTTTCTACTTATTTAAAGTTATTCCAGAAGGAATGAGCAGTCCCTCCAAAGTTGTAAGTTAAATAATGAGAAATTACCTAAAATCTACTAAAAGAGAGATTCTCTCTTTGCAATCAGTGTCAACATTAAATTGGCCACTGCTCATATGAAAACCAGACCCTAAGAACACAGGGACTGTCTCTTTTAAAGGGTAGTTTTACACTATTTAAAATTAATAGTTGATTAGACTTAGGAGAGAAGGGAGTGAGAGAAAGAATAAAATCTTTGCTATTATCTATAAAAATCAATTTTAAAAATATTTACAAACAGAAATATAGCACGAAATATTATTACCAAAAAACAATATTATCCTGAGTTGGGGTTTGTGGCACACATTTGTAATGCCAGCATTTGGGAGGCTGAGGCAGGAAGATCATTGCAAGTTCAAGACCAGTGTGATATGCAGAGTGAGGTCAAGGCCAGCCTGAAGTATACAGAAAGACCTTGTCTCAAAACACACAAAGAAACATTCTAAATGTAGTACAGGGTAAGTATAAAGAAATATAACTCCCCAGAATGTACAAGGAAAAGCAGGATAGAAGGATTTTGGTGAAGATGGAGTGACTGGAGCATAACCTTGCTCTGTGCTGGCATGGATAACGTAGAAAAAGAAAACTCTAAGAGGTCTCACATTTTGACCTGTAGAATTTGCTAAAGGGTCCAGGTTACACATATTTTTGCTAATTATTAGATTCCATAGACTGATATATTGCCATACAATTGAGAATCCCACAAAAACATGTCAAATACATCAATACCAGTGACACCTGCTGAGTGCAGGTGCACATGGCAACTCTTTTCTTCTTTCTCCTCTACGTGTTAAAATGATGCCTGCAAAAAGAAGTACCAACAGAGAAGGAGGCAATAAGCCAATCTTCTGAGGCTGAGAGAGCAGAGACATGCAAGTGATATGAGCCTCAGAAGTTACTAGGGAGCTCTTTCCTCCAGATGTTTTGTTGCCTGAGATTAACCATCTTTTTTGGGGGCTGGGGATTTAGCTCAGCGGCAAAGCGCCTGCCTGGCAAGCGCAAGGTCGTGAGTTCGGTTCCCGGTACCGGAGAAAAAAAAACCAAAAAAAAAAAAAAAACATCTTTTTGCTCTACTTCTGAAATCACTGTCATCCAGAGCATTTATTCTTTCCAGCAAAAAGCATTTTGCACTTATATACTCCTAAAAGGAAGGATCTGTATTTGTCAAGGTCCTCCAAAATAGGCCAGGTATGATTTGAAAACTCCTTCCCCACAGAACCCACATACACAAGACAAACATATCAAGCCACCTGCATGTCGACATCTGCAATTCTTCATTTAACAACGGAACACTTATCTAGAACATGTGGTACTGACACCTGCCTGCCTACATAGCACCTACTTTCGGTGACATCTTTGGATCAGCTGCAAGATAAATTTCCTCTGTGGGGAATCTTTTTGGTACACAGCTTTGGATGGACCTCAACATATCTGTTTTCTAATTATTATTTGCTTCGTGGTTCAGACATGGTGCAGTTTTTGTCTTCAAAGTAATCACACTCACTACTACCTTGTGTTGTGTAAGTAACCACTTCTGAAATTTTTCCTGTTGAACCATCTTTCCTCAGGACTCTTCCCTCTCTGAACCATCTATGCCAGTTATCAATGTACTGTCCCTCGGGTCCAAATTCATCTGTGTCTTACTTTGCTGTACACGAGCTGCACTTTATGAACATTTCTCCTTTGTCAGCAGGTGCAGTGTTGGGCTCTCTTAGCAGAAGCATCAAAGAGACCTTGTTCTGTCTAGACGCGGCCCCAAAGCTTCATGCGCTCATGGGTGAGGTTGTTAAAATGCGACTAGATCATGAGGCTGCTAGAGCTACATGTGATGTTGGGAGGCAGTATGTGGGTGGAAAGAGGAGGTCACTGGAGATGTGACCTGGAAGGTTATCTCCTCCTACCCAAGCTTCTCCCTTCCCTCTCTGCATCCTGCCCACCACGATGAGGGCAGATCTCCCACACCCAGCCCCTGTTGTCCTGCTGTTTTGTGTGTAAGCCTACCAAACACAGGCTGAAACCTCTAAATTAAAAAAGAGCCAAAATAAACCTCTCTTCCTGTAACCTGTGGGTATCGGGTATTGTGTCCCAGCAAGGAGAGAGTGACTGAGGCAGAAGCAGTGTGCAGTAGGGTGAAGGGGCTTCTTCTGCTGGCTCCAGTGTGCAGTTTTGCTCCCGAACTCTGGAGAGCAAATAGCCAGATTCAACGGCTTGTGCTAACAGCAAGAGTTAGGAATGAGAAATCCTGCTTCCAATTCATGCATTGTCGGTGACTGTAATTGATGAATAACTCATTGAATTGGATGGCTGCAAGTGACTGAGAGTGAATTCTGTGAATCTTTGTAAATCTCATGTCTCAGTCTCCTTTAGAGAAACTACTTCTTATAGAAATTTCCTATAATAAACTCACACAGAAGTAGAAAAAGAGACATAGACAAAGACAGAGAGCAAATTAAAAATAATTGTCCATATACTCTCAGCCTCTGAATTCCCAAACTTCCACAACTACCAGCTCACACAAGCAATTTTGCCATCCTGTTTTCTCCCCATTTTCACCCAGTCCTCTTGCTTCATTATTTTGAAGTATATCCCAGATAGCTGGATTAGAAAGACTAAAGCTCTAATTTAAACCCACCCTGTTACAGCTCTAATTCAACAAATTCACCACTACTGAAGTAGACAAATACAGTCACCAGATAAGTATTTCCAGGAAGGAGGAGACAGTCTGCAGCGAGCTCCTGCAATAAGAAATCTGACTTGACACTTTAGGACAAGGAAATGAATGATTTTGTTGATAGGATGGAATACTGAGAGAACAGAACATTCATCTGTTCAAAGGAACCTAACCCAGCAGATTTAGGGGGCTAGTATTGCACAATATCCAAATAAAATACTGCATGAAAATCCTTGCACGGGAAGCTGGGCTCAGGGTTGAGAGCTGAATGTAAAATGAGTCTACACTCAGAAACCGGACACAGTGTAACAATTTCTCCATCCATGCCTGCTCCTCATGGTAAAAATACGCACTTGTAGCTGGACGTGGTTGTGGACGCCTGTAATTCCAGCCCTCTAGACACTGAGGCTGGAGCCTTGTTGCGAGTTCGAGACCAGCACGGGCTACAAAGTAAGCTCATGGCCAGCCTGAACTGCATAGTGAGATCCTATCTCAAAAAGATAACAATAATAATAATAATAAGCACTTTTAAAAAGCCTTACGACTCCTCCCCAGATGGTCCACAAACTGCAGGAGGGCAGGGATTATCTCACTTCCCCATGGCAAACAGAAGACCCTATAAATACAAGTTGAATGAATGAATGAATCCCTACAGTTTACGGAACTACTTTAATGTTTTTCTGTGTCCTTCGTCGTTATAAAACCTGCTACATGATTTTTGTTATTGTTGGGCACACACAAAACTGTATTAAGACAGCTCTTCCGGACGAGCGCAACACTAAGCTTGACCCCGACACCGCAGCGGGAAGCACTGCGCGTGCGCTATTTGCCGGACCCGCGAGCCTCCAGGACCCTCTAGCCAAAGAACCACCTCTGCGCCTGCGTCGTTTGAGGCTTCCCAGCCAGAGGGCGGGTTCTAGAGAAAAGGAAATGGTCGCTGCGCCTGCGTCGCTCGGTCTGCGGCGCAGGCTGACTGCGCGTGCGCACAAGGACCATTTTGACCGTAAACATCCTGCCGATTTGAACCGAGGATTTGGGCGGCAGGAAGAGCCGCGGCGTAACGGCCGCCATCTTGTTTGTTTGAGTGAATCGGAAAGGAGGCGGCGGCCGCGGCTGCGGCGGGAGCTCCTCCGAAGCCACAGCTCACCAGGGCTCCCCCCTTTCCCCGCCCCCTCCCCCGACCCTTTTCCCCTCCCCGGGCCGCTCAGCCCGCCGGCTCCCGGCGGAGCGCCAGGTAAGGGGCTCGGCCCG